GGAAGTAGCCCATGTAATGGGTCTTACGGTCTTTATTAAAGGTTGCCCATAGTTTAGTTTGTAGGATGATTACTCCCCTTAAGGAGTATTTGTTACTCCCCTTGGTAGGGCGTGTGCATTAATTTAGCTGGGATTTATCCAATTTTAGCTAGTAGTTTCCTATTATGCTAGCTTTAGAGAGACATGTCCTACCACTCGACACTTGTGCCTTCTACCTTTGCTATCAGTAGTGTACTGTGGTTTTGGTTGTGGCAGTGCTCATAGCCTTTTCTTTTACTCAGTAGCTTGTCTTTCTACTTTAACCTTGTTTGTTTAGCACCTATTTTTCTTTACTAGTACTAATTTATTTTACTATATTGTACTAGTACTCAACTTGTTTACTTGTAGGAACGTGGAAACTACAATAGTTCCAGGAGCAAGAGCTTTGAGAGTTTGAGTATGAGAGCTATTGTTAAAGAGCTGTTTGCTGGAGACTTAGTAGCTTGTATTTAGGAGTAATTATTCATAGACTTAGTAGCTTGTATTTATCATAGTATTTTGTTCATCATTTCAGAATTAGAAATTTTTTTCCCTAACAATGCAGAGGAGTAATTATTTTTATAAATATAGTATACATATTAGTAATCCATTCATTGTCTTGCATGCAAAATAGTTCATAATTATACAGTAGAATGTTTAAGCAAAATTGTTTGACATCATTTTTTTCCTTAATAAGTAATATAGAGTCTATTACATATTTCTTTTCGAGTAATACAAGTTGATACCAACATATAATCCTCATATTTTAATGCTGAAATAAATCGTTCAAACATTTTGCATTTAATTGTGCGTATTCTTTATTTTGTTAGTTTTAATCAATGAATGATATTTCAACTTTGATGTCATTTATTATCCTATGTGACAGTGAATATCCAACTAGATACGAATTTTCTAAAAATCAAATAAAATATTGTCGAAAAAAGGTAGACGGGTAATAGAATACCATTTTGACGTGTTCTGATTTCCAACACAACAACAAGAACAATATCAAGCCTTTGTCCCACTACGTGGGGTTGACTGCATGAATTCTTTTTCTCTATTGTTTCCTTTTAAAAGTCAAATTCTCGTTTAAATCTAATAAAGAAATAATCTACTTAAAGTGTTGAAAGCAAACAAATAAGAACCCCTTTGTGATACCAAATAAAAGTGATTTGGCATAACTAAGAGAGGTGAAGATGAATTGGTTATTTTAAAACTTTTAAGTTAGATAACTACAATTATAGTAGAAGTCATAAAAAATTTTTGACAATAAACAAACATAGAGTTTATTATTTGATAACTACAATTACCTAATGCTCTCTTGAATTCTTTAGAGGTTATTTGAAAAATCTTTATAAAAGTCTAAAATTACACAAAACAAAGGGGAGCAAGATAGGATAATTTAAGTTGAATTTGGTTCAACTTGAGCCAAGATGACCCTAAAGTTTGTCTAAGGATGTCTAGCTCCCAAGGGATACTGAGGTCATGCAATAAGGTACTTAAGCTTTAGAGAGCTTCAAAGTACCATACATGAGAAAAGAGGACTCCTAAAGATGATTCCTAGTTTTTAGAAAATTTTGAATTCATTAAATCGGAATGGTCAATCCTATGGCTTTAGGAGAGGGTTTTAAATTTATTTTGTCATAATCAAGACTCGGGAAGCACATGAAAAGGTAGATACAGATTTTTAAGAAGTTTTTATAGGTATAGGATATTTATTATCTCACTTAAATAGTTCTATAACATGATGGAATTTGATTTATGGGCCTTTAAGGACCCATAAAATACCTCAAATTGGTTTCATAATTGTTCAAGATGACTTCCGAAATTTCAAAAATGTAAGAGAACTAAAAGATGAGGCCTTGCACATTTTTTTTTAGATTAATTTTGCTATAAAATAAGTCCAAAACATCATGAAAATTGATTTGGTCAAGTGCGTAGTCATTGGACTTGGATCGAATGGCTACAAAAAGCATAGGGCTCATCAAAGGTAGAGAATTGAAATGCAATATGAATGCAGTTCAATGATCCACGCTCTTTGTCATCCTCCTTGAATTCTCACATGAGAACCCATTGGAAATCACTTGATTTCCGCGAATTGGTGAAGAGGGCGAAGGTTTTTCAAGTTGGAGAGTGCGAAAGATTAATACATGGACATAACGTTTAGAACATCATACTTACAGAACTAGTGGCCCATAAACTTAGATTTTGCTAAGCTCAAGAAGGTACCTCACTAGGACTAGTCCGGTGATTTTTCCACGGTCTAGTACAAACAAAGGAAAGTGAAACAAAGATGGGAGTATTTCATTGTTCTGGATGCTCTTGAATGTTGCCTTCACCAACATCTCGTCAAAGTTGGTATTCTAGATTTGACAGCTCGATTCTCTTTTCTGATTATTTCAGCTAAGACAGGGGGACATCATGCCAAGTGTTCTTGAAGATCGAAGGTTACTGTAGCAATCCAAGCCTTAGCCCTGTCCAACATTGAAAGGGAATCTAGAATACCAACTTTGACTTGATTTTGGGTCGATTTGACTTGATTTGAGTTGATACAACTTAATTTAACTCTATCGACTCAGCTCGATTAAATCCGATTTAGTTTAATTTAATGATATTTGACTCAATTTGATTTTATTTGGTTTAATTTGGCCGGAATCGTGTCAATTTGTGCCGAATTGACCTAATTGAGTTAGTTTGATGCAATCCAACTCAATTTGATTCAAATAAATGAAAGAAAGTGAATCGAATGGAATATATTCATTAAATTGAATCGACTGATTCAATTTAATCAATTTGAACTAGACGAGCCAATCAATTTGAACTAGACGAGCCAATGATTGAGTTGTATTGAAATTAATTGAATAAACTTAATTAAATCAAATTATATCGGATCAAAATTGAGTTAAAATAGCCGTCTCGATATATTGAATTAACAGAAGCACATACTGAGGTCAGCCTGATCTACAAGCTTCATGTTAAATTCGCACACCCACTCATACTAGTAATGGCCTATTAATGGGCTACAAATAATGATCATTTAATATCTCATATAAAACCCTTTTTTCATTTATTCAACAAATAAAGACAGAGGGTCCCATTATTAGGGCCAGTAAAAGTGATAATCATTGCTTGGATGGCCGCCAGAGGTGAACCATTGAATGTTACCCAATTGGTGGAGTTTGTCAACAAATGATCAAAGATAATCTATGAATGACTTAAGTTTGTTAAGTCTATTTTAAATTCCCAAATGAACTATCCAAGGCTACTGACAGCTATCAGAGCTAGAGATAATCATCTAGAGACCTACAAGAGTTCACTAATTACTGACTAATTAACAATAAATCCTACCTTTTATTGTTGAGAATAAATGTCAACATTACATGAACATAGAATTAGTAGCAATGGTTTTGTGTTTTGTTTACCATACTTTATCTGATTAAGCAAGCAAAATGGACAGAGTTCTAAAGCAATGAGATGTGGTTCAATGACAAACAAATATAAAATAAAAGCCAAATAGGGTTTGACATAAACAAAATTAAATTTGCCAAACACTAGTTGAAACATCGGCAACTCATGCTAATCAGTCACTAATAACTAGATGGTTACCACTGGATATTACCCAAACAAGGCTAGCGATTGCTAATGCCCCATTTAATCCCTCATCGGTGGCTGCTTAATAGTTGACCAAGGATGTAAATAAATAATGCACTCGACAAACTACTTGTAGCTTGTCTCAATTAGAGCTCCTTCATAATCGTTAATTATAATCGAACAAAATTTAACATTTTTATAAATACTTAATTGACAAATGAATAAGCATGAACAGCTTGCTGCTCGATTCATTTATCGTCACGAATAATTTAATTTAAAGCATGCAAGCAATCTTGTTAAGAAGATTGATTAAAACTTAATAATACACTCGTGTAAAAAGTGATAATATGGGTGTTTAAGACTAGATTATAAGTTTATTAATATGTGATTATGGACAAGTCTTATTTTTTCTTCTATTAGATTGTTTTTGTTCATGAATAGAAATATCTTTTTATGCTCATTAAAATGTTTGTTTATTTAGAAGCTCATTCAACAAAATTCTCATTTTAAGCTTGATAACATGTACATTAATAGGCTTGATAAAGCTTGTTCGGTTAGCTATCAAGCTACCCAAAACATTGCTTATTAATAGGCTCTATTGTTTGGTTAGCTAACAAATAGCTCCACAGCATGTCTCATTAATTAGACCATAAAAGTTATTCAATAATGAAACTTTGATCCCATGTCAATTTATGCTCAAACAACCATAAGTTTAAATGAATCGAACTTCAATACTATCATAAATACTCAAATCAAGCTTGAACAATATTTTGGAAAATGAGCTTGAGCTCAGTTCATTTTCAGCCCTGATAGTTGCTAATGATTGGTTAGGAGATGCTTGTGATAAAAGGCAGAAATGCATGGCCACGAGGTGGCAAGATGGACCTTTGGATGGTATTTGCCATTTTAAATAGACTATGCCAGCACTTAAGCAATCTTGAACAACTCTTTCCGGCCCGCCATTTATGTGGGCCCATCAAAACATTGAAAGAGCCAAGCTGATAGGCTCATGGGCCAGCTAACTCTTTTGATACAGTGGTAATTTTTAAGCAATTTGTGAAATAATTCTATCCTTACCAAACCCCACTAGATCTACTTCTAACCAAGGAAGCTTGGGCTATTTGAAAGACAAAGCAATTTAAATCCCAGCTTTTCTACCGAGTAGCTCCTGAAAAAAAGTCATCAATAATCTTAACACAATTTAATAAGGACAGATGCAAGAACAGACACACATGGTCAGCTAAAACATCTGCTAGATGATTATTAACAGCTTCCTCAATTGATTGGTATAAATATTGAGCTGAGTGTACGGAAAGTATACGCAAAAAAAGGGAACAGCTTTGTATGTTGTAGAATAATATAAAATTCTTAAAGGAAACTGATAAATTAGACTAGCGATAAGAAAATTAATAAAAATGGAACACCTGGATTATACCCAAGAGGCCCTCCATAAGCTCAATTGCCAAATCCACCTAAATAAAATTTTCAACAATTATTGAAGACAAAAGACTTTTATGACTGATTGAAGAAGGTTGAGGCAAGAGGGGAATGATAATAGAGTACCTTTGCTGTAATTGTTGATATCCATGGTGAGAACAACCCAGCACAGAGATCAATAAGCACACAAGCTGTCTTTGCCTGATAACAATCGAAAATTTATAAATCATAACATTAGAATGCATGTTTAAACCTATTTAAATAGTTCCTAGCAGCTCATAAATAGAACCTGACAAAATTTATGCATGTTTAAACAATAAACAAGAGAAGAAAAAAAGAGGCAGGAAAGTAACGAACATGTGATGAACAATAGGAGGACAAATATCCCGCACAAACATGAAGGAGAGGAAGGTATGTTGATGACGACATTAGCACAATCTGCAGTAACAGTTAGACCATAAATATGTTGCATACATACGGACAATATGAGCTAAATAATAAATAAATAGTAAAACCTGTGAAAGAGCTTGCTCAACAGAAGCATGCTTCCACTGCCCAAAGGACTCATCCATTCGTTCTAGACTACTTGCAGGAGGGCGCAGGGCTACCAATTAAAATGAAGAGTTAAATCTATGTTGCTTTAAGAAAAAGCTCTTGTTTATGCATAACGTATGTGATGTGAAACCTGGGAGCAAAGCTTGTATAAGTGGCAAAATCGACCAAAACTCAATGTTACTCTCAGCCAACTTGCAGCAGAGCGGAGGCTGTACTATTTTCAGAGCACCACGATAAATAAGGGAATTAGAAGAGTGGAAAAATAAAATTAAAATAAACGGTGCAAAAATATATACATCATAGAACTTATCACATAGCAAGAGTGCTACATTCGGATCCTTTTCCTTTTGGCAACAACAAACGCAACAACAGGTCAGCACTTACATGTGATGCACAAGCATAGAGAACATGGAGAATGCCTTCTTCAACTAAAGCAATATCCAGCACATTCACAAGATCAACATTCCAACTCTCATTAGGTACTTTAAATTCTTCTCCAAACAAGTTCGAATAATCAGCAGTATGTGCAGGATTTAGCATTAAAGCGGTTTCATCAGAAATGGAAGAGTCACTGATCGGTGTAGGTTGCCCTAGGGGTATAATCAGACCAACAATCTTTTGCAGAGCTCTTGCAGCCTACACAGAAAGTCAAAAATAATAATAATAGAAAAAATAACTAATCATGAATTAATAAAAACAACACAACACAATCGTTAAAGAACAGAAAAACATACTGTTCGGCAAACAATTCCAAGATCTGTATCCTTGAATGCTCTTCTTAACAGTAAGATAGCAGCATCAGGGCGAAATGCTATGGAACATGAACCAGCCTGAATAAAAATTGATTGATTGCGTGATCTTCTTGGCTGAACCTGAGAAAGAAGAAATTCATATTCCAGGGATTTACAGTGAATTAGTCCGGGCAGATGCACATTCACAAATAAACAATGCTAGTGGTTGGACAGGTGCTAAAGTAGTCAGTTGCTTATATATTGTTTTGCGGAAATGACGAAAAGAGAAGATGCCAACTCAAGTCTTCATTAAACCAGAATACACAACTAGAAGAAGAAGAAAATTTTGTCACTGGCATGCCAAGAAGAAAATTGAACTCCATGCTTTAACCATAAAACAAGTTTTTTTACATGCAGTACACAGACAGAGAAAAAGAGAAGGCAGAAATATTTTGCTAATAAAATAATTATAAATCAGAATTACTATCTAAACCTTCTAAATCTTAGAAGTATAAAGGAGGAAGAAAAAGAGAAAATATACATATTGCTGGAATAAAGAAGTTCCAGCTTAAAGGCATGAAGGAGGGCAAGGAAGAACTTAACAAGCATTAAATATGTCAGCCTTCTCCAGCTTAAAAGTACAACGAAGAGGTAGTAAACGGAAAGATAGTGTGGGCTCCGAAAATTCAGCCCCGGCCTCCCTGCCGCATTGATGTTTTGCTTTTGCTTTTGGCGAGGGAGTTTTAACGGAATAAGTTCCGGGATAAATTTTGGAAGGCAGATGGGTTTGTAGATAAGACACTACCCAGAGATTTCGCCCTCATTTTGCGAGGACTTTATGATCTGAGTTCTGGTTTCCTATAGGCGCAAGCCCCTAAAGTTAATTACCCCTCTCAATCACGAGAGAGAACTTTCGATTAAGGCTAGTCGTCATTCAGATTCGTATAGAGATACGTGCATCTGGCATATAGTAGCAGCATTGATTTGGGATATTGAAAAATTTGGATTTGAATTTGGGTATTTGGAAAGGTTTGATATTTAAAATGGGAAATTTCACCACCTTTCACTTAAAGCGGATGGTGGGGGAATGGATGATGGACCTGATCAAGATCCCATGGTTCCGTCGTCCCGGGCCATCGTGGTCCCTGGTCTACTTAGTCAGAGGAGGTAGTCGACCCAACCTGACAGAAGGATCCTTGTCGACAGCCATGGGTTGCTTCGTCCAAGGGTACCATGTAGATCTCGGTTGGATATTTACCTAAGGGGACAAATTTGAATCCACCTTAGCTAACAGAGAGCTTTGTGCCCTATCGATCATATCCTATTGATTCATATCTCAAGGATTTGATGCCAAAAAGGAACGTATTGGCGCTGGCCATAACCGGTATTTTGTGGTGCCATTTGGCGGCAAAACCACTCGGTTCAGAGGGCCTCGGATCATAACTGTTTATCCTGCGGTGCCATTTGGCGGCAAAATCGCCGGTTAGAAGACACGTACCACGTCCTTACTGGTAGGAGATTATTTGAGAATAAACCCTAGTAATATTTTCGACTAGGCATTTAGCTCTTTGTGAGATGGAGTTATATTTTAATTTGTCGACCTCAGCAAACTATTGCGGAGGGTGGATGGATTTTGTTTTAAGCATTTAATGATTGGATTTCAATTTTAAATATCTTTGGGATTTTGAGGTTTTGGATTTTTGGAGTATTTGGGTGGAGCTTTGGATTAAGTGGACTTTTGGGAGACATTTGAAAGTATTTGTAAACCCCCCCGGTTGAGATAAACATTCAACATGGCCATCATCGGGGTGTTCAGAGTCATTTCTCTTTTATTAATTGAATCTTGTCAACTCTGTCGAATTATTGGCAGAGGATCGGAATTTGTAGGCTTTATGCCTTTATTTGTGAATTTTTTTTATTATAAGCCTTGAAGGCTTAATATGAATATATAAAAAAAATATAGTGGTCATCACAACAGTATATTTATTTGATAGTTCGAACCCTGTCAACTCCTATTGCTCCGTATAGAAGGATCAGGTTCGATCCTAAATTCACTTGTTGACCCGCGCAGCATCCCTAGAAGTCACATGTGTTCCCACGACATGCTCACCGGGGCCCATGCGGGTGTTTGGGGGCATTTTTGTAATTATTTGTTGAACCTTGACGACTCCTATTTATCTGCCTAGGAGGATCGGGTACAGATTTATTGACCCGCGCAGCATCCCTAGGCCTCACGTGTGTACCAATAACACGCTCGTCGGGGCCCATGCGGGTGTTTTAGAATTTCATTGATTTGACATACCCCTTTGTGTACCTATGTGTATACAAGCTACGGTGCACATGCGAGGGTACTTTAAAAGTATTTAAAAATGTCTTATGTCCACTTGTATGAATGTTGCGGATCCGACAAAGTGGCGTAACAGCTTCTGAATTAACTTGTTTGTTGCTTTATACAGGTAGACTGTCATGCACTATTTGCATGATTCACGTAGGTAGATTGTAGTGCACTAACGAATCTCCTGCCTTGTACTTGTAGATGCTCGTGGATAGCTTGTTGTATGCACGATGAATTTCTCACTGTAACTCATAAGCACTTGCACTTGATATAGTTACTTTGTATCTTGCTCGTGGATAATAGATTGGGTGTACTACGAGTCTTCTACAGTGGCCCATAGATACTTGGAATTGTTGTAGTCATCTTGCATATTGTTCGTAGATGATATGTGATATTTATAGCGGGCTCCAACAGAAGCTCGTGATAGCTTGTATCTGTCGAGGCGTTAGTGGACGACAGATAAATCTGAACGATAGTCTGAATTAACTTGTTTGTTGCTTTATACAGGTAGACTATCGTGCATTATTTGCATGATTTACGCAGGTAGTTTAGATTTAAAATGAAATAATAGTAACATACAAAATAATTCATTATAATTAAAAATACCTTTAAATTTTTTTAAGCTCCAATCTCACTTTGTTTCTTTCTTTTATATATTTGAGTAGTTGCTTCATTATCTTCTTCATTGTCATGGCTTTTTCCTTCTGCTTCAACTTCAGATATATCAGCATTCTTAGGAATAAACCATCAACAAGCAAATGGTCAATTTCATTCTCAATATTTCCTTAATTTTGCAATTTGAGATATCTATCTTTCAGTTTTTTGTTAAACGTAACATAAACTAGTTTGTTCATTCGATCTGTCACCAATCGATTTCTTCTCTTTGTATGAATTTGATTGAAGATACTCCAATTACGCTCACATGCAGAAGTCGAACATGTTAGGCTAAGAACTTTAACTGCAAAAGCTTTCAATTCATGAACATCATCTCCAAACTGAGCCCACCAACATTCAACATGAAGTCAAACATAGTTTTTTATGTATATTGGTTGAAGTTGAAGACTTGAACATAAATATTAACATTAAAATTATAAATACACAAACTACAAACATACCAGGAGATCATGTTTTGTAGCATGCTTGTGCTGCTCTAAATCCAAACATTCTCTTCTTCAAATGAAAATCCTCAAGTTGATCATTCACTTTGAGGTAGTCTTCTTCAGAAATGAGTTTGTCCATACATGCATACAAATCAATTTTCACCTCTTTGTCAACATGAAAATCCTTATCATAACGAAATTGGGGATTTAAATAGTACGCAGCAGGGTGTAATTGTCGATCCCACTTTTCATCTATAATATCCCATATTTCTTTGTAAACACTTTCTTGACCTCTCAATTTTTTTGCAAAGTCTTCTTTAGCCCTATTCATTGCTTCATAAATAAATCTCATAGCTGGGGCCCTCTCACCATCAACCATTCTAAGCACCTTTACTAATGGTCATGTTGTCTTCAAAGCATAATTTGTACTGCGCCAAAACGAATCATCTTTCATAACAATCTTTTTAACTTGCTTTCCTTCTTGTTTTTTGGCCCATGAACTTTTATCCCACTCTTCAGAAGCAAACATTGCTTCCAAAGATTGTCTTAACTCCTTGAATCTCTGCAATGTTAAATATGCAGTAGCAAATCTTGTAATAGCAGGTCTAATAATTTCCTTGTCAGTGAATTTTCTCATCAAGCTGAGTACCCAAGAATGATTGTATATAAACTTACTAACGAATTTGGCTTTTAATATGGTTGATTTATGTTGAGGCAACTGTCCCAACCTCTCAAGCATCAAGTCAATACAATGTACAGCACAAGAAGTCCAGTAAAGGTGAGGCCTCTTCTCCATTAACATTCTTCCTGCAGCTTTGTATGCACTTGCATTATCAGTAACAACTTGTACTACTAAGGCATCTCCCACTTCCTCCACAACTTTATCCAACATTTCAAACAATAATTGTGCATCCTTTACAAAGCTTGAAGCATCTACTGATTTGAGAAAAACTGTTCCATATAGATTATTGACAAAGAAATTAATAATACTTCTATGTCGAATATCTGACCAACCATTTGACATTATTGTCACTCCTGTCTCAATCCAAGTCTTCTTAACATCATCCACCATTTTTGAAGTTGTCTTAATCTCCTCATTCAGCATCCAAGTCCTCAGCTCATACATGCTTGGAAGTTGTAATCCTCTTCCATAGCTTCCAACAGATCGTAACATATTGATCCACGACGGACTCCTAACAACATTAAATGGAATCCCTAGTCATGCTAACAATAGGATATATTTTAACAATTATTTGTACTACCAAATGCCAATAATAAAACAACATGAATACAAAAATATACCAGTCTGCCGGGGGTCCAAGGGGGCGCTGCCCCCTGATGGGATTCGACCTGATCAGTCAGGTCGTGTACCGCTAAGTACCGAGCATATACTGAGCAGTACCGAGCATGTACTGAGCTATGCCGAGCATGTTCTGAGCGGTGCCGAGCATATACAATTTGATGAAGCGAGACATGAAGCAAATAACGGGAAGAAAGATCGTTACCTAGCCGTGAAAAAAGAACCTTCGATTACAAGAAGCTGGAGAAGAAGAAGCAAGACATGAAGCAAATGACGGGAAGATTACGGGAAGCAAGAGAAGAAGAAGAAATAAATCGTTACCTTCGATCGCCTCCATCTATGTTCGAACTCGACCGAACTATGGTCGTCCAAGTTGGCGGAGTTCGCCTTTCAGTTCTCACCCGAA